TTGCAAAATTATTTGGCTGCAATCAACACGGTTATTCTGACTCATTGCTGGGAACAGAAATCACGGTGCTTGTAACGTAGCCCAGCCAGGACGGTTGATTTTCCACGTTCAGCGGGCTGTTAGCATTAGGGAAACAGTTTCACTCTAATCAGAGAAAGCATAAAATGTAAAAGGTGTCATTACCAGCCAATCATTAGTAACACATGCAGAATTGGAATCGAGAAGGTGTTACTTCCCCCAGAGCCAAGGCGGACGGTTCCAGTTGGGAGGTACCTTCGATGATGGAGCCTTCGGCCCATAGATTAGCGGACACCATTTACCTGGGGGGTTGAACTAGACCGGTTGAAAAATGAGATAATGAAGGGTCGTTGAATAAGACCATGAGAAGTGCGGACGAGCTGGCCCAGGTCTCAGTCCCCTCTTGTCCCTGAGGACTCTGGGTATGTGACGCACGCGTCCCCTGCGCATCTGTGCTAGGTGCTGTTCCGAAGCAGCTGGAGTGTGATGTGACAGTCAGAGGGGAAGCTGCTGCCTCAGGAAACGCTTTGCCTTTGACAGATTGCTCAATGACTGGCAAATTAATTTTGGCACCTTTCCCTAAGTCACTTTGGTCCCATTCCTTCATTTTTCTCCTGGGAAGCGTGTATTCACGTTACAGTTAAAAATACTTTGACAACACAAATGTGGAGAACAGCACGTTCTGTTTTAGGAGAGAAGCTGCAGGCTGGGCTGGTTCCATTGTGTGGGATAGAAATGACGCCTCAGGCTCTGGGAGGAGGCCTGACGTCAGTATCACTCCTCCTGACCGCTCACAAAGTCATGGGCTCCAGGGTTTACGGTTTTGAGTGCTTGAGGATCTTCTGATCTGATAGTTCCCCCTTAGGTGCTTATATACAATAAACCTTTCCTATCCCCCAAATTTTGGCATCACTGCTTCCCTATACTTACCCTGTCATCACTAGCAAGAGGTAATAGGGCAGGTGACTGAGAACATGAACTCTGAATCTTGTTTGCCCCACTCATAGGCTTTGTGACCTTCAGTAGGTTACTTAACCTCTCTGGGCCTCAGAGCCGTCATCTGTTAAAGGCGAACCACAATGACCAAACTCGCTGCACCCCCTCTAGATCTCTTTGTACACCATCATTTTCTCTGTGTTAAGCACAGTGTTTTAAACGCCACATTTTTTACACGTCTTTTTCCTTTCCTGAGAATGCATTTCATTACTGCTGACAAAGATAAAAGGAATGTGCACTTCTGATTTTGCTTTTCCAAACTAAGTCAAAGATTCCACTCTTGAGACACAGAAACGTAATCCGAACAAAAAGATATAATTGAGACCCTGGCCTCTGATGAAGATTTGAGGTTCTGTTGCCTGAGTTTGTGACACACGGCAGTGTCATAGACCGAGTGCTTGCTCCCTGACTGTCCTGATGGGATTGGCCCATTCCTGCCCTAGTTCTCTCACAACTTGTCATTCTTGCCCTTAAGTATTAAAGCATCTCCATATTAATTACTGATTCTCCTGCTCTTATGTTGTACATGTGTGTGTTTTTTAAATTTGATTGTGATAAGTATATCATAACATTTACCATCTCAACCATTTCTAAGTGGTGTGTTTTTTTTTGGCGGTTGTTTCTTTTGTGTGTGTGTGGAACATTTATCAGAAACTGAAAAACATGTTGGCTCATCCATATGAAAACAGTGTTAAAGATGTGGAAATCTTAAAAAGTTATGACAATGAATTAAACTCCCCAGAATGTATACAGTCCATTCAGTGCTACCATATCAGTACTGTAGATACAACCTGAGAGTCCGTGTATGGATGTGGAAGAGGCATTTTGCTTTCTAAAAAGTTGTGGACATTTTTTCCCAGCTTTTTTGACTTTTGGTCCTTAAGCATTTCAAATCAGCCACAAAAGCAAACTTATAGGAAAATAAATGTGGAAAAAAATCAGTAAAAGTCAGGTGTATCTGGTCAGATATATCATATCCAGATATATCTGGTGCTTTTTCCAGCACAGAGAAAAATATGGGGAAATAAATACTAGTTTAGATAAGATTTTACCAGTAACTAGAACAGGTCCTAAGTTATACAGTATACTCAATAAATATTTGCTGAATGAACAAATCAGTGAAACAAACAATTTTTGCTAAGTTTAAAACAAACATGCATATATTTTGTCCTACAAATAATCTGTTTCTACTTGAAAAAGTTTAGTGACTAACCTACAATAAAATTTGCTCCAAAGAGTAGCTCTATTAGGACATAGAGCCACGAAAATACTGACCATACCTGAAAGAACCATATGGAACCCAAATTAATTGAGGAGTATCACAAATAATAAAAAATAATTGAGATAAAGGTTCATATTTTCATTATTATTATTTTTAATTCTCATCTGAGGATATTTTTCCTATTGCTTCTTTAGAGAGAGTGGAAGAGGGGGGCAGAGAGTGAGAAACGTGGATGTGAAAGAGACACATCAATTGGTTGCCTCCCATATTTGTTTCTACCAGGGCCGGGGACAGAGCCTACAACCGAGGTACAATCCCTTGGCTGGAATCAAACCCAGGACCCTCCAGTCCGAGAGCTGACACTCAAACCACTGAGCCAAACTGGCTACGGCTATATTTTCGTTATTTTTAAAAATCAAGTGTAATATTTAAATTAGCAACACAGGCAACACATTATAGAAGGAACATCCCTGCCCTGGCCAGGTGGCTCAGTTGGTTGGAGTGTTAACCCCTACACCAAAAAGGCTGCGGGTTCGGTTTCCGGTCAGGGAACGCATTTAGGTGGGGGGGTGTCCATCCTTGGGGGGCACATACGAGAGGCAACTGATTGATGTTTCTCTTTCTCTCTCCCCCTTTCTAAAAATCAATGAACATATCCTCGGGTGAGTATTAAATAAATAAGTAAGCAAGTAAATAAATAAAAGGAATGTCCCTGCTAAAAGAACAGGCCTAATTCTTACTAGAATACAACTTACTCATAAAGTTCTACTATGAGAACTTGTAATTGGCAGTCCCTCATATAGTATCTTCTTTACCAATAAAACATTTTGATAATATAATGCCCAAAATATTTTATATTTCAAAGTATTTACTAATGCAGACTATGCTTTCTTCAGATTAGTTAGAATCAATAACCTTTGCTTGTAAAGCCAAGCATATCTTTTTAAATTAAATATGTTTTTATTGATTTTTAGAGAGAGAGGAAAAGAGAGGGATCGAGCCCACAACCTGGGCATGTGCCATCTTGACCACCAGGACTCACACCATGACCTCTTGGTTCCTGGGTTGACGCTCAACCACTAAGCAACACCAGCAGAGCAAGCATATCTTTTATTTGAAAAAATTTAATTTGAGGAAATTAAGAAGTTTGTGCTTAGGCTAAGCACATTGCAGTTAATTTTTTAAATCCTACAGTTTAGCAGTAGAAATGGTTGAGCGCCTTGTTTTGTAAAGACCCCACCCTGGGGAAGACCAATTTGCAGATAAACAGCCCGTACCCAGCCGCGCTGCATCGCTAATGTGCAGCGTGTGGGAGTAGGTTAGGAGCAGCTCAGACTAATGAGGTTAACCGACACAATCTAATCATCCAGGCTGCGCTCAGAGCAGACAGACATCGCAGAAGCAGGGAGCATTCCCTTTATTTCTAAATCGTTTCTGGTTTTTGTATTCCAGAGTGCCACCAAGTAGATGGTAGGTGTGCACTTCCCACTGTTTCCAAGACGCGTTCAATTTCAAGCACTGCAGTTTTCCAGTTAACTTACCGTTGGGCCACAGGCAAGATGCCTTTTAATTCAACATCTGCCCGAGAAATTATCAAGAGCCACTTCCTGCTGCCTAGGAAGCTCCCTCTCATCCTTCCCCCTGGTAGAACCTCTAGTGGCAGTGAACTTGGCAGGCAGAAGCTTACAGATACCCAAGGCCTCACAGCCTGCCTGCGTGGGGAGCGGTGAGCTCGCCTATTTCCAGAGGGGCTAAGCATTCACCTGTTGTAATTCACCTTATAATTTTTAAAGATTGATTCCAGGGTGAAAGTCTTTTCAGAAATTCCTAGCATGAAGAGGGTTGCTGGGAAAACCGGTTGAACTTGATTAATTAGAGAAAGACCCCACATTTTAATCAAACTTGGGGTAAGACCTCTCTGAAATGACATTTTACTTTTTGTATTCAAGATGGGGGTGGAAAAATCTTTTTTTTTTCCCCGAAGTAGAAATAGGTGTATTGTTTCATTGTAATAGATATGCTCATTGTAAAAGCCTTCAGACAATAGAGAATCTGTAGGGAAAAAGCGTCATTCTACATCTCAGACATTTTGGTATAAAGCGTTTTGGTATAAAGCTTTCTAGATTTTCCTATGGCTTTACAAGCATTCAAATAATTACAGGGCATTTTTTAAAAACGAAACAGGGCGAGATTACACACACTATTTAGTAATGTGCCTTTTTACCTAATTTCTATATTAAAATCTACATTTTCATCATAACTTTTAACAACTTCTTTGTATTTCATTGCCTAAACAAATGTACCATTTGTGGTTATTTCCAATTTTTCACAAATAGAAAGGAGGTTCTTATACATATGTCTTTATATACTTGCCTACTTGTTTCTTTCCCATGAATACCTAAAATGGAATTGTGTAAAAGAATATGGACTTTTATACATTTTGATAACAATTGTAAAATTGCTCTCCAACAAATTTGCACCAGCTTACCTGCTCCCCAATACCACAGGGAGTGCCCGTAGCTCTGCACCCTTGGGAATCACACAGGTTTAAAAAGAAGTGGTGCTTTAGAGGGGACACACTTCTAGTCTGTGAATTTGGGGCCATAGAAAGCTTGTGGGCAATGGGCTTGCGTGCCTGGCTGCCGAGGAAGGTCACTGTCACGTAACCAGTGCATTCATTTGTTTGCAAGATGACAGAACTCAAGTTTTCATTTTATAGCCCATGGCCATTATCTTAACCCCTCCTCTTGCTCTTTTTCTTCAGATTGAGGAAGACACGTGGCAGAAATACTACTTGGAAGGAGTCTCGAATGAAATGTACACAGAATATCTCTCCAGTGCCTTCGTGGGTCTGTCCTTCCCTACTGTTTGTGAGTAAGTGACCACCGACCACATGCTCCTTGGCTCCCAGGGATATTGAGTGGGCCCCTTGCAGGAAAGACCCCCACCTCTGTCCAGCAGTGGGGACACTGAACAATCAGGGACTGTGTCCTGTGTGTGATGAATGGGAAGGTGGGAGCCATCATTTGTACTAAATTAGAAACTGAATTTTTCCTGCATGTCTTGAATTATGCTCCTGTGAGGTAGACACATCTATGAAGGGGAGGTGTGAACCCTTGTCTCTCTGATTTTACTAGCAAATCTTCCTAGCCCCTTGATGAAAGGGATTTTAATCCATCTTTCAATTAAGTCATATCTGAGAAGCCGCTGCTCAAAGTGCGTTCTTGATTTTGCTAAGGAAATGCAGAGCCACATGTACCGGGAGACCTTGAAAAAGTCCCCGGCATGGACCAGTGCCGGGTTATAATAAGAAGGCTCAGCTTCCCCCGACGCTGGCTCAGCAGGATGGATCTGAGCAAGGCAGCCCCAGCTGGCCATCGCCCCTTGAGGTGGAATAGATGATCACCTAAAGGGTATGACCTCAGGAGCTTCAGGTGGCCCGGACTCCAAGGCACTCCCACCAAGACAATGCCTCAACTTCCCCACTTAGAATCTCAGATGCTGGGTCTGAGTCAGACAGGGGGCTCTGTTCCCTGTGAAAACACAAACTCCCTGGGACCGTGGAAATGCTCAGGTGGGTCCACTGACGCCTTGGCAAAGGGTTCGATAGACTCGTTCTCACTGATACCAGCTGGGAAGAAACGGGAATCTGGGGAGCCACTGAGCTGAGGAAGAAAAGCTGGCCCCATGTGCTGCCTACCTGCCTGGAAGCCAAACCAGCATCTGGAAAGGGAGCTCTGAGGAGGACGGGCCTGGGGCTCTTGGGTTCCCCTGTCTCACAGTTCTGCTCTGTGCACTGCGGCGAGGGGACAGAGCTTGGGGTTTACCTGGAGACGCCTGTCAGTGAACAAGCACAGCAGGTGCACTCAGCCTGTCCCTGGGCCCGGACCCTGAGCAATCCAAAATGGTTTGGCTGTTTACTGAAATTTCTCACCCTGCCTTGAAGCGAAAGTTTAAATGCTAAATGGACTGGAAAAGTGAATAGGTAATTGATTCGGAAGAAGCTATTTTCTGAAAATGGATGCCCTGTTGTAACTCCCATGCGCTCCTGTCTCTGAAAGCTGTTTCTCTTTCTGCCACGGAAAGACCTTAACCGCTCAGAGGCACTGCGGCCTGGAGCAGAGGCTGCCCCTGGGGAGTTTCTCCACCTCGGAGCCTGGCTCACCTAGGATAGGAGCTCAGGGGAATTCGGGACTTACAATAGAAGCGGGTTCTATAAAAAGGCAATTGTGGCCTCCTGTACCTAAGGAAGGGGTAGTGTGGCACACGGCAGATCCTGGAGGGCTCCTGTGGCGTGGGGGGCATTCGCAGGGAGCCTTCGAAGCTCCCCTCCTCGGTTGTCAGTGTTCCCTGGCTTGATGGGTGTTTGTCTCTAGCACGAGTGCTCCCTTGAAAGCCTGCTTTCCCACTGCTTCCCTCCTGGCCTCCACAGTATTTCATTTCTTAAAACTCAGCTGCTATTATTTCAAAATAGAAGTATTTTACATAAAAAGTAGATTTTTGAACTCTCCTGAAAATGCGCTGAGCCAACGCAGGACTTGCATTTCTACCGAATGCTCCTGGCTCCGGGTTGCTGTAAGGAAGGGTTTAGTGCAGGCCCTCCCCTCTCTGGTCACCTAAAGGAGGCCAGGTATGCACCTCCAGGCCCTGTGGACATGTGGCTTGCTAAGCCTGACGCCTGGGGCAGTGTGAAACTTCACTGCCCTTGGGGCCAGCTCAGGCATGGGACACGGGTGCCTGCTGAACACCTTTCCCCTGATGGATGTTCAAGTTTAGCACATGTCCCAAAGGAGGAGCAGAGCCCTCAGACACACCTTGTTGTCAGAGAATTTAGTATTTGTTCAGTATGGTGTCTGGAACACAATAAAACAAAAAACCTTCGGGTGCGAACCAGAATGTGCTCAACTTAGTGCTATTATTCGTTTAACACAACGATACAGCAGAGGTAGAAATAATCAATAAAGGAAGGACATTTAATGAGATTTAGGAACATCCCAAAACATTGAAGCTCTCCTCAAGCATTTGATTATCTGGAGGCTTAATTATCTGTGTTTTCTACTTTAAATTAAAGAAAAGCCATAATTCAAAGTTACCAGCAGTTTAATGATAACACTCTTCAATTCAGGTTAATTAAAGCGCAGCCGTAATTAGAGTGTGGTGCTGTATATCACCGGGCAGGCGCATACGTATTTTCATTACAGTGAGAATTGGCTATTCAATTTCAAGATGACATAAAGGATGCCAAAGTATATTTTAAGCTGTTCCATGTAGACGAAAAAGAATTGGGGAATATTCTGGGTGTAATAAAGCACAGATAAAATATACAGATTTTCAGAGCCGTTTCTGTAATTATGCACCACATTAAAACAATAACGCAGCACATAACATCTTAAAGCATAAAAGAAATAAATCTGCTCTTCCCCCAAGCTGGCGGAATGCCCCACTGCAGGGTGGGATCACAGCACAGGGGAGCTTGGTGTTATCTTAGAAGCTGGGAGAGTTATTCTGGGAAAAGACAAGGGTGAAACTTGAGGTCTTTTCCCAAGAGAACAGAATGGGGGAGGAAGAGAGGCAGGAGAGTCAGAAGGCCCCCCAAGGCAAGCTTTTTAAATTTTTCAAGTGGAGAGACGCTCTCTCTTGTCTTAGGGGGGTGCATACCAGCTACAGACTTTGACTTCTGGGCCTCAGCTTTGTTCCAAAAACAGTAACTAATTTAGATAAAATACAGTATCATTTTTAAATATTTCATTTACATTTTCTTATCGAATCCTCCTAACAATTCTGTGATTTAGTCTCACTGTCCCTGGTTTATAAATGAGGACCCTGAAGACGTTGGTGCCCCTTCCCAAGCCACCTCGCAGACAAGCTGCAGAGCCAGTGTTCCAACGCCAGGCCTCGTGCAGTTGGGAGCAGCCTGGAGTAGCTGCTAGATGAAGGCTGGCTAATTAGGAATCTCCTGGGGAGCTTATTAAATGGAGAGGTTTCTGGGCTACATCTTCAAATTTTAATATCTAGGGTAAGGCCCCTGAAATTTGCATTTTTTACAAACAAATCAGGTGATTCTGATTCAAACTTTGATGACCGGGGACCCTCACGGACCCCGCTGCTCCACACCACAGCCTGGAATAACCTGTCCTTTTCCCCACTTGGGGCTCAGACACTGGAATGTTTCTCTCTGATTTTAGCCGAATCATAGAGGCCTGGGTGTGCACATCTTGCAAGCTAAGGTCTGGGCCTCTGTGTGAGCTTCCTGGCCATCACTCCTCCTCCAGGTAGGGTTTTCTGCAGTCTCCAGGGACATAGGAAGGAGACTGCACTCCAGCACGCCAGGCAAACCACTGACCGCTCTCCCCACTCCCCGTGCCTAATCCAGATCAGTACAGAAAAACCACGTGGGGTATGAACCCACGGATCATAAAACCCACCAGGGATCATAAAAGCAGTTTCAGGCTGGGGAGAAGGGATACCCACTAAATGCAGAGAAGCCCAGAGGAAACAAGGAAATTCAGGATGCAACACTCAGAGCCGCCTCCTGGAGGTCCTGTTCTAGACCTTCCCCAGTTTGCCCTTAGGGTGTTCTTTTTAAGGGCCAGCAGCTCCTGAGCATTTACCCCTGGTTTTGCACAGCTGGCTTGCTCCTGGGCCCATGTGGCAACAAGATCAAGGCAGAGGAGCTTTGGGGTCTGAAGGAGGGGGCGCCGTCCGTTGTTATCTGAGCACCAGGAAACCACCTGTTCCTTTCCCTCCCTCCCCCACCTTCCTCAGCAGGGCACTCTGGGAGGTACAGGTGGCCAGTGCCCAGCCAGAAAGCAAGGGACTGGGGTACAAGGCCATGTTTCCCACGGAAGTGTCCTGCTCTTGAGCAGTTCACATAATGGGATGCCATGGGATGTCATGGAGTGTGAGCCGTGGAGTAGCAAAGGCCACAACGGTCAAACTTCCAGGTCAGCCATATGCTGGATATGTGATTTGGGACAAACTATTTCATTTCTGCAGACCTCCTTCCTTTGATAGTTACCAGCTGCCTGACCTCAGACTCAGTACCTACCCGCAGTTTCCTAGTCTCTGAAATGGGAATGACATTACTTACCTCTCAGATCCAGCTGATGTCCTTTCCCCTCTCCCACCTCTCCTGGTCCTCCCACTGCCCCATCAAATAAGATGTAAGGACAGAGGAAGAAAGAAATCCACTGTGACATTTTCAGGTTATATTTACTCTCAGCCTTCAAAAAATTCTACCATCAGTCACCAGTCAGTCAACTGAGTAGATATTTAATGAATGTGAGATATTAGCACCAGTGTGCCAAGCACGGTGCCATCTCTAGAGGAACCTGCAATTAGATTTGATCAAATATATGCACAGCAAAAGATTAATAACAATACTGGTAAATGCCAAGTAAAGGAGTTTGCAGTTTCACTAAGGAAAGTAATCCCCATCCTCAGGTAGAGCTGAGCACCTATCGATAAGTTTTGTTTGATGGCTGTAAACAACAGAGGATGGATGCTGAGAGTTGCAGGGAAACAGAGCTCCCTGGAGGCTGGGGTGTGACCAGGAGAGGCCTCCTGGAAGAGATGACACCTATCTGTGCCTTGTAAGAAGGTTGGATTCAGTGAGGAAAGAAAGAGGGAAGAGGGGATGCTGAGTGGCAGGGCCTCAGGAGGTGCAGAACTCCCTCAACACCCCAGGCTCTGAGGTTTTCCAACAAGAGCAAATTGGTTTCACCTTTAGGTGCGAGGAGGAGACAAGCACATATCTTTTTTTAAAAAAATGTTTTTATTGATTTTAAAGAGAGCAAGGGAGAGAGAGGGTGGGCGAAACATCAGTGTGAGAGAGAAACATTGTTCTGTTCCCTCCCATATGCACCCCTACCGGC